AGAGCGGGGAGCAGAACAGGCAGATCAGGAGAGGTCTGCCACGCCATGTGGTCACCTCCAGGGCAGGCGGGAATTGAACTCATGCAGAAGTGGCTTTAGCTTCTCAGTGCTGTGCTTTAACCCACTGCGCCACCAGGGAGGGCCCCAATGTGTAATTTTTAATAGTCAATCTGTGATAAGATTAAATGGACCAAGAGATGATTTGAATATAAGTATTTATCTAGAATATATTATTTGTCTCCAAACTTCAGTTTGAGAAAAAACTATTTCATGATTTTTAAAAGGCAACAAAAAGAGGGATTTGGTAAAAACCACTTTGTCATCAAGAGATCCAAGGAAAGCATTTTATATACTATTTTAAACTCACCTGGATTTTGATCTTGATCGAGAATGGGATTCAGAGTGTTTGGAAACCCTTGATGGACTACGAGATCCTGACCTGCTCTCCGATTTTACACGAGCAGGTGTTCCAGTTGGAGATTTTGACTGAGAGCGAGACTCCTAACAAAGAAGACAGTATTACAAATGGCACTGGTCACGTAGATGCCTAACACCTAACATTTAAAGTACCGTAATTATTTATATTGATTGCTCCTGAAAAACAAATGGTTAGGCAACACCCTCCAGAAAAAAAAATTTCAGCTCATTAACAACCCATTGTTAATACTGCTAACTGTCCTCAATAATTCCCTACTTGAACCAGATCACCAATTCTCTATTAACTAAGTAATCATGCAAATTCATCTACAACTTGATCATACAGACACTGGAACATAAACCATACATTTACTTAACCTAGGACCCATTCATTCTTCCAGATTCTTTTAATTCTACTTCACTCTTGCTTTCTACTTCTCTTCATTCTTCATTGAGTTTTTCATTTTTCATACTTCGTGTATTCTTCCCCAATTCAAACAATTCAAAATAGCCTTAAAAAAAATATTCAAGGGCTTCTATCTGACCAATCTTCTGTTCAATTTTTTCCCCCATTCAATTTTAATTTTCTGATCTTTAATACTTTTCATTAGCCTTCTTTTATCTTGATTTATCTTCCACATTCTTGGAAAAAACTCTTCAATTTCTTCACGAACATTAACCTTAATGGAAAAAGAACATTTAGTATATTTAAGCACGTGGGGATTATAAAACTCTGCTGGAGTTCAGAATGTTATCTACCAAATGGAAAAGCCAGCAGGTAAAGTGCAAATAACTAGTTTATTTAAAAAAAAAAAAAAAGAAACAATTTTATAATCTTTAAAATTGTTCAAAAGTTTAGTTTCTAACAAAGAAAATTTACTGAATTTCTCTAAATGCTTTTACCATACTCTTCACCCTCCTCCCCTTTCATGTTCATTAACTCTTATTCCCCCCACTTGGTTGTTTTCACTAATTTATAACCTGAAGCTTCTTAATGTTCTTAATGTAAGCTTTCACTAAGCCATGTTAATAATCAAGATTTGGCTAAAACAAAGTACCTAAGCTAAAATATTTGCACACACCTAAACTCACAAACTATCAGAAACAATGTAATTAAAAAAATCAATAAAATCACATCTTCAGTTTTATTTGACCACTATCTTTGCTCACTCTGACTTAACCAGAAAGTTACACTATTATGTCAAACAAGCTTACTGAAAAGAAGGGGAGAAGCAAGCAAGGAATTCTTACAATTTCCCCTTTGGCTTGTAATTGCTAAAACATATTTTTGCAACTCAGTCACTTAAAAGTCAGTATTTTCCATGAACTATGTTATTAGCATCATGGTTTTTATCTTGACCCTACCTCCTTTTTTGGGTGTATTTCTTTCAGTTATGCATACCTGTGCTCTTTTCAGTGACTATATGTTATAGTAGAAAAGGGACTGGCTTCTGAAAATGTTGGATCAATCAAAGCTTTCCAGGCCAAGTAATTTAAAATTGATTATTATTATTATTTTTTTACTTAACAATTTTAACAGGCATTTATAACCAAAGTAGGATAGACAGTTTGGTTTCTATCCTACCCCTTTAAACCTCTGTGATTAGTGTAAATTCGATCCCAATTCAATTCACATCAATTTTCATTTATGCCATAAAACTATCTTGCTACTTCCTTAAAACTTTTTCTTTACTTCACTTCTAATGTCAAAAGACTGATATATCAAAAGAACAAAACTAATGCTGCTAAGCCTATTTACTTTTTCAAATGAAAGCAAAGCTGAAAAATATAGCTACCTTTGGTTTAGTATCAACTGTTCCTATTTAGCTATCTACAATAAGTCTTTTACCACACCTCAGACACTTGTCTATATTCCTGGACTATGCCTGGAATAGATAGGCACAGCAATTTTAGCTTTTCCATTTCATTGAAACTGTAAAAGTAGCAACTGAGAAAAAAAAAAGTATGCTAATTTGCTGGTAACTTTAGTCCGACAGGCTGCTTCATTAACTAAACTGTTAAGAGTATCTTCTCTCTTTTTTGGCTTTCCTTTCTATGAAACAGATTCCCTCGTGTAACAGTCACTTACTTATGTTACTGCTGAATAGCAGTAGATGGACTAGTTTCTATAAGCATCACAACTGCCCTTGTTATGCTATATTAGCAGGCTTTGTGATCTGTGACACTGTAAAATCTGTATTAAATCCAAAAATCGAGTCTTAAATATCTACTTGAAACTTTCTAGCCCATGATAAAGATGTTATAGTCCAAACATGAGTGTTTTTGACTTGTAAGTCTTTCTTTATAAGTATAGTCATTGCTGAAAACTACCTCTTCTTAGGTATTAATATAAAGAAGGTAACTCAATAACTGTTTCTATAATCCTTTAATTTAATGACTCAATGGGAAAAAATTTTTTCCCTCATAGTTTATTAACAAAGTCTTAAAATATAAAAGAGATCAACATATTTGTAAAAGGCTTGCTTTTTTTCTTTCAAATATGCAGTGTCACAAGTTTCTATTCTGCTCTGTACCTACCCTTCAGTTTTACATCAGGGAAAATCTTAATCCTCATCAGTTCCCTCATGGTTAAAAAAGTTCTCTATAGCTGTCACTATCCGAAAACCAACTTAAGAGATTTATCAACCATCAGTAAACTTAACCTAAAGAATAAACCACGAAGCACAGACTTATTTCTTAAGAAATATTTTTACTATAATATGAATAAATGCCCTGTCATTTTAAGAAATGGTAAAGTCTTCACATAAGATGGCTGTATTAATTAGTTACCATTTTAAAGTAACTTATTTTTCAAAATGTGGTACCAAATAAATGTAATTTCCACTAAACTATGCATTAGAAATGAGATTATAATACCCTTATGGATATGCTGGAGTATCCTTTGCTACCCCTTGTCTTCATTATGAAATAATTTCAATTCTCTCACAGAAATTCACCAAACTCCAGAATTTGAAGACTGAATTAAAATGCAAAAAGAAAAATAAGTCAAACACTTAGAAGGGGTGGTACCTGCTATTTCACTTGGTTACACTTAACCTGCTCTTAAAGCTGTTTAGTTAAATTCCACAAATTTTTCAGTAATCTGGATCCAACAGTTAAAAACATTTCCTGGTTGAAATGGTAGATTAACAATTCAACTAAATCATATTAAGTTTGAAATAAATTTTAGTTGTTCAGTCTACCATACCTACTATAAAACAGAAATTAGGCCAAAAGCTCTCAGTACAAATTGTTTAAATGGTGTCCTCTTTAGCTTTTACCAAAGTATCTCTGTTGGTAATTGAAGGAAACAAAGAGGGAGGCGGTCACCACCAATACTACGAAAATACTACATTTTCCAAATCAAGCTAAGGATCAGCTTTCTTGTGTTAAAATACAATTGTATTTTACACATTGTAAACAATCATAATAACCAGGTACTACAGTTTTAGTAAGAAAGGGTCATTAAATACATGTTGCAGAATGAACAATTCCACAGCAAGCAAAAATGGCAAGTGTCGTAATACAACTAGTCATGATAGATGGAAGGAAAAATGTCAACATATATGCTCAGCATTTAAAAACATTAAACACATAAACCATTATAAATGCTACACTGTAACCAAACTCAGTGTTATTGCAAGGCAAATTCTATGCCAAGTTTACACAAATTCAAGTCCAAAAGAATATAGCATAAGTTTTAAAAACAAACCCTTTCAAAATGTACTTTCCTATTATTTTATGAAATTGGAGAGCTATTTCCATAGAAACACAACAGGCATTTAGGGAGATCATGTAGGTGGGGGGGGGGGGTTGTTTTTACTGTCAGAAGAAAACATTTATTCTGACTAGAGAGAAACCTGTGTTTACTCATGTTCTTTAAATTCCTTCATGTTCTTTAAATTCCGTTTACAGAACTAGTAGTTCTACTTCCTTCTTGTTGAGTATGACAGAATGTTTCATTACAGCCTCTTAGAACTTTCTAAACGAAAATAGTGTCTTCATAACCTGCAAGTGCTGTTAGAACAACTCTTTAAAATAAAGACATTACCAACTATATTAAATAATTTTCCTTTTAAGGTCATTTCTGTATGCTACATTCTTAGTAAAGTTAAAATCATTAAAAGGCTTGCTTTAAAATTAAGAGTCACAGATTTCCTAATAATCTGTGTCTCTGTTTTCTAAAGCTTGGAGTAACTTTGGGAACCTTAAATTATTTACGAATTGATGTTTATACATGTATAATTAAATTTAAACTCATGTTACAACCACAAAATTACCTGTGAACTTTACTATCTTTTGTACAAAGGTGGTTCATAAATCTGCCAGCTTATGTCAAGATTAATTGTAATTTCCAAAAAGGTAAGCGGCACTTTCAAAGGTGTAGAAAACAAGTTCATAAGGATTGATATGGCTTAGCAATATAAAAAAATCTGTAAATAGCAATTAAAAGCAAACTAAGGATATGTTACAGCATTCTCTGTAATGTTCTCAAATTCTAGTGTCAGAGAGTATTTGAGTTTTGAATATGAAAAACTACAGGGCTTAGTTTTAAGGAAAAACTTTTAACTTCTACATCAGATTGACCAGGCTTACATCATCCACACCTTTGTTGAGAATCCTAAGATAATAAGAATCATACATTACTATAGGAGACTTTAAAGGAGAGAGAGGGAACTACAGTTCATTATCTCCCTCTAATTTTTTGGGAGTATATACTGATTCATTCCCCTATCAGACCTTTACCATTTTCTCATTTCCACTTATGTCTTCCTAAATTTGACACGTAAACAAGTAACAACTTTTATCAATTCACACAGCATGTGAATATAATATATATCTTTTACAAAGGCCTCAAAGCTAATTCTTTAATAGCATTAAAGAGAAGACTTTCACATTGTCAGAGACAAGTTCTGGAAAACAATGATTCTGATTACTCATGGCCATTTCATACTGCTATCCCTACACAAGTAATATCACAGGTAAATTAACCTCAATTCATTTATAAAAATCAGTCCACAAATAACATTTGTATTTTTCAGTGACTCTCATTCCTAAATATTTAAATCCTTTGGTGTTCTTTAGCTATCTGTAAAATTAGTTATGATATTGGCACAATTATTTGCATTGCTCTTTTTAAAACCCTGTCATCTTAAAATACATAAAACCATGCCTTCCACTCCACGCCCTTCATCGAAAGAATCCAAAACACAAAAATCTGTTAAAATGATGGGGAGGGCAGAGCGGATGGACCAAAAAAGCATTAACTGGATAAATGATGGAAATTAACTTTTGGAAAATAAACCTACAACAAGTAGACTCTCAAGTGTAGTACTATCCCTAATATATGACAAAGCCTCACCTTTTTCTAACAGATTGATGTGAAAAAAACAGTAAGTTATATTGCTAAAGAAGCTGAACTCTTTTCAAAGTCAAAGTGCTGACATATATCTAAGGACTCAATTTACATTTTTACTTAAAGTGGCAGAGAGGGCAAACCTCATCAGTACCCTCATGCTTACTATTTTAAAATTTCATCAAGAGAAAATCTTAAAAGGACTTTTTTTATAAGGAGTTAGTCGCCCAGATGGGTTTTGAATTGCAACAGCCAGCACCCCCCATTAATACAAACCAGAGGGGAAAAAACCCCAACAAACTTGCTCATACTACTGTTATTTAACAAAATACCTCCACACACACACAAATTTTATATAAAATTGGTACAGAAGAAATTTGTGTTTTTAACTTCCCCTTTGTAAATTATTTTATATTATGAAAGGGAAAACTAGGTGTGTCTTAAAAATATTCCAGCTACCTGAGCCATAAAGAGCTCAAAAAAGGAGGCAAGAATTAAGTGGAATCAATCCTTCCCCTTCTGCATTACAAAACCCACCATTATGGAATTGCAACGATTGAACTATATAATCATGAATCTCTACTAAAGACACCTGGTCATTATATGTGACGACACTGGGGCTCAAGCTTAATTTCCATTCTTTTATTTTCTATAAGGAACACCAAATGAGATTAAAAAACCTAACTTATTTGAATATGAAGCAAACTCACTCTTTAGATAGATAGTATGCAGTCACAGCAAGTGCCCATCTCACTCCCAGTTCCAAAAGACATTTCCACTTAAAATATTTGTTATATATGCCCCAAATTACTTTAGTGGACCTCTTTATTTTAATGGCACTATTCTACTGCATCTCTTGAAATTATCTCTTTTACATCCCAGTGCTATTGCGTTTAGATCACGTTTTTCATAACTTCTTTCCTTAAATATTTCACATTTGGCCCACTGGTCTTTTTGTGTATTTCTCTATTCTTTACATATGGCGACTTACTGAATATTGGATTAAGTCCAAATTCCTAAATCTAGATCTCAAGTCCTCCCATTATCTATTAATCAAATTTATTTCTCATTAATTCAGCAATCTGCTCCACTCATACAATTATCATAAGATGTAGTTTGAAATGTACATCCTAGATAAAGCTTTACGGTTCCCCCTATTTTATGAAAGTTTCTGAATTCCTTACTAATCATACAACACCTGATCATATACCTACTTTTACCCAGATTTGAGCTGTCATGTCAAACATCTCAAAAAAAGTTCACTTTCCCTCAAAAACACCTGGCCTTTACTAAAAAGGTAGCAGATGATCAACAAAGTTTCACCACAGGGAAAAAGGGAATCCTAGTTGATTAACTATTAGAGTTACCAATAACAAAACTCAGCCTTTTCTTTCCCACAGTTCTTTTAAGCCAATACTTAAAAATAGAAGACATTAAGAGAAAATTAAACTCCAGCAGCTGCTTTCAGCAAATTCCATTAATGGTTGAGATACTAAAGTAGTGTGCTCTTTAAAACAACAACAACAACAACAAAAAAAAACAAAACCAAGTGCAAATATACACAGTAAATATACATAATTAACAATGAACTGGGATTGGCTGTAGTAGTCTGGCTCTGTTCTAAATCTCTGAATTAATACGAGTACACCAGTCTCTGCAAGAACACTGTAAGCAGTAAACTGGAAAAATAGCAAAATTTTTTTTGGGGGGAGGAGATTCTAAAATGCTATAAAAGCAGCCATTATTAGTATTACCCCATTCAATGAGTTTTGTTTTGCAGTCTTTAGAAAGTTACCCTCTAATTCTTCAGGAAGATGGGGTTAGGGTGCCTTGTTTGTTTATTTCATATAAAGCAGATGGCATCTGAATACTTTACTGTAAATGGTACTCTAATTTTAGTTAAAAAGTTAAATACAATACTTAAGCTCCTCATACATCTTTTGTTAATTCTTTAAGCCTCTAAATGGCTACTACATTTAGGTATCTTCAGATACAAAGGTAAGGACAAAATAATTGTATTCTATTAAAACTTCAAACTGCTGGTCTGTGGTTGGATGAAAGATCAGTGCCAAAAAAATATAACAGTTGAGTGAATGTATTAGTTAACCTACTCAGTTGATTCACACCAAAATACACTTGGGTGTCTGTTATGTATAGAAAAAATATTTTCTATGACCACAAACACCATAAAAGGTGGAGGGAGGTAAAATCTTCTTTTTTCCCTACTGAAGTAGTTAATGCTTACCTACATGTCAGCTTAAAATTGGGTAGGATTCTTAATGTATTACTTTCTTAAGTGGATAAGGTGACAAAAATAATCTAGAACTGGCTCCCTTTCTCTTCTTGATGACTTAAAAAATGTAATTAAATTAAAGGAAGGAAAGAGGGAAGGCTAGCAAATGCCCTGGCATAAACTACCTAAGAGAAGCAGCAGCTTGCCACCAATATTTATTACATGACTAAGTTTTTTTAGGATAGTCAATACTACTTTCATTGTAAAAATTAGGTGAACTACTTATAACTAACTAGGCTCTAAATTTTATTTTTAAAATCCATTCTTATTAAGTATTAAAAGTAGCTTTTGGGTGCTTTCTAAAAAGAACAAGAAGCTATTTAGTGACCTACTGATTTAACTTTCCAGTTCCAGGTGTTTATTTCATGAGTTAAAAAAAAAAAACAAAACAAAAACACAAAATTCATTTCCTCCAGCACACGCTTTCAGTGTTTTATGCGCTTCCCCTAGTGACAAGAACACCAACACAACAGTCAAAAATTTGCCTGGGGGTTTTGTTTTCTTTTCAGGATTTCACACTAACTCACTCCAACCGATTGCCACAAACCTTCGGAAACATAACTCAAAAACTGATAAATTTTCTGGTACAATTAAGCCAAGAAAAGTGTATCTTCACGTGGGTTACACTCGTCGACCCCAGATAATTAACATGTTTGGGCCCTCTTGGGGGGTGGGGATGGGGGGAGGAAGCAATGATGGACTGTAAAGCGCGGAATCGGGCCCGAAACTTCCAGGTAGCATTTTGAGTCAGAGAACAAACTGACAAGTTATTTTTAAAATACTGAGCCATGAAATTTGTTCAGTTATGTAAGTTTGGAACAGATGAGTCCCTGTTTTGTTTTGTTTACCGTTAACAACCTGCAAAGGAGTGGTCAGTTTTTAGATGAAAGGTCACAGGAAGAAAAGCATTAGAAGTTGAGATATAAAGAAAAGAAAACCCAACATCAAGGAATTAGAAAAATAAGGCGTTAAGGCATTTCCATATTCTTTTTGCAGTGAAAGGAGAGGAGAAGGGACATTAAGGGAAAAGGGCTCCTTGCGTAGTTTTCCCCTCACAGCTCTCGTCTTAAGAACGCTTAAGGGTCGGTGCGGTCGTTGACTAACCACTTCATTAGGCTCGTCCCACCTTCAACCTCAAGGCTTTCGCCTTTATAGACGCAACGCCGCCGGTTCCAACAGAGACGCGGCCGCTCACTGCAATAGAGAGCCAAGGAGACACAGGCCCCAGCTAGTCCCACGCCAGCTTCGCCCCGCCCGGACAGCAGCCCCGCGCACTTTCGACCCCGAGACCCTCTACGAAGCTCGGGGTCGCCAGAAACGCCACCGTAGGAAGCACCTACCACTATCCGGCCGGAGGGAAACTCCCTACCGCCTCCTCCCGCCCCCCCGCGACGGGACCCACACCTCAGAGATAAGGAGGCCTCGGGGGTGGGGAGAAGAGAGGGCGCACCGTGGCGGGTAATAGAACCCAGGAGTCCAGGTACCAGTCCGTCTCCAAAAAGGGGGGAGGGGATGGTAGGTTGTGTTTGGGGAAGGAGTGTAACCCAGAAGCCATCTTGGGATGTGAGGAAGCCACCGCGATGGCTCCAGAGGCTTCTCCCCGCGGGCCCCCGCAGGACTCCCCGAAACCCCACCCGACCGCGCTGCTCCCCGTGAAACCCCGAGTATCGGGCCGCCGCCGAAGACGGCTCCCGCGGCTTTGTACTCACTCTGCCCTCGAAGTTGTTCTCCTCTATATCACTCATGTCGGTCAGGCGTTCCCCAGAACTAAATAAGGGACAAGTGCCGGCTTGAGGGCCGAAGGCCTAATCGACCGCTGACTGGACCGTGGGGAGGAGGAAAGAGTCGGCAACAACGGCCGCTCCACTCCACTCCCACTCGGTCGCGGGATCCGGCAAAATGGCGCCGGCTACGCCAGAATCTTTGGGCCTCCCTAGTGCGCGACGTAAGGGGGAGGGACGTCTGTGACGTCACGAGACCTGCCTCCCACAAGGCTTTGTGGCCGTGGGCTTAGCCCGCCCGCGGCAGGTGCTGCTGGAACGCGCGCGTAGGAACCCGGCGTTTACTGTGATCTCTGAACGTCAGACTCGGTTCTAATCCCACACTCTGAAGAGTTTCGGTCACCAGGTGACCTTTTATTGACCTTGTGTTTTCCAAGTGGATCCTGATGGAACAGAAAAAAAACCTAGAAGCGTAGCCATTACTGATATAATAATATTATATTTGATAAAGTTATGAGACGTAGGAGAGATGTTTTCAGAACCTTATTACGTTCGTTCAATGAGTGCCTTTTGTAATGCGTATGTAACTGGGGTTATAAAAAGTTAAAGGTTCCAGGCCCTCCCTGGTAGCTCAAAGGGTTGAAGCTAAATGCAGCCACTTCATCACAAGTTCGAGTTCGAGTTAGATCCCCGCCCCGGACCCACATGGCGCGGCAGACCTCTTCTGTCTCACCCACTGCTCCCCTCCGCAGTGTACTTCATTAGTCCGCCTGTTCTGCTCCCCACTCTGTCTCTGGTGAATCCTGTAACCTCCTGCACCTCTGGCCTGTGTCCCAGTCTGTATGCATAAATAAATACATCTAAAAAAAAAAAAAGTTAACGTTCCTTGCCTTCTCTTTGCTTCCAGTACCGCCTTATAGACAATTGCTATATATTTTATAACGCTTAACTCTTTACTAGTATTTTTCATTTAGTTATCTGTTTAAAAAATTATTTATGCATACAAGAACTGAGAAACAGGTCAGAGGTTGGATGTGTGCGTGAAAGAATTCACCAGAGACAGAGTGGGGAACAAAGCAGGCATATTGACTAAAATACACTGCTGAGGGGGGGCAGCAGGTGAGACAGAAGAAACCTGCTTTGCCACGTGGGTCACTTCCCAAGTGGGATGGAACTCATGCTGCTGTGGATGCGGACAGCTTCATGCTGCTGTGCTTTAATTTCTTGTCCGTCTGTTTTTTATAGCTTTGTAATCAATACCTCCAAATCAATATACTTGGTTCTGAATCATTTTAATAATTGAAGTGACTTTGAACTTTATATATTGCACATTCAAAAACTAGTTTCCTCCAAATTGAACTCAAAGCAAATTAAACCTTAGATGGTATCAACAGTTTACAGAAAATGAAAGGAATAGAAAAATAAATTTTATTTTAAAAATTACGCATACAAGAACTGAGGTGTAGGCTAGAGTTTGGGGGTGTATATGAAGGGATTCAACAGAGTGGGGAGCAGAACAGGTAGGTTGACTGCTGAGGGGAGCAGCGGGTGAGACAGGAGAGGTCTGCTGCACCATATGGGTGAGCTCCCTGGCCTGGGATCAAACTCGGACTGCTTTCCAGGGCCTTTGTGTTGGTTAGTAGTGCTGAGACTTAACACTTAGGCTAACAGGGAGGCCCTAATTCTGTATGTTTGATGATTTGCATAAGAGTTTTTTAAAAAAATTATTGTAGCAAGAAACTACTTTCTTGTGTCATATTAAGCACTTTCAAAAGTAAAAGTAAAAAGTTGTCACAACTTTATCTACATCTTAGAGGCAATACTTTGAAGGTCAACAATTATTTGAACGAACAAGTTCTATTTTTTCTTTTGAAATAATTTTGTACTAATTAAAAATTTTGTATAGGGCCCTCCCTGGTGGCGCAGCGGGTTAAAAGCACAGCACTGAGAAGCTAAAGCCACTTCCGCATGAGTTCGATTCCCGCCTGCCCCGGAGGTGACCACATGGTGTGGCAGACCTCTCCTGACCTGCCCGCTGCTCTCCTCAGCAGTGTACTTCGTCGATCTGCCTGTTCTGCTCCCTGCTCTGTCTCTGGTGAAGCCTCTCACCACCCCTGAGCCTCTGGCCTGTATCCCAGCTCTGTAAGAACAAATAAATAAATCTTAAAAAAAAAAAAATTTGTATAAATGTACACAGATTTTCTTTTATCCAACTCCCTCCGGTGTTAATATTAAACGAATATATGAATATATGAATTTTAACGATCAACATCAGAAAACTGATATAAAGTAATCTACAAAGTTTATTCAAATCTTATCAACTGTGTCACCAGTATACCTTTAATTAGTACCCTACCCAAGATTACACATTGGATTGATTATCATGCCCCCTTTAATCTGTGTGGTTTCCCACTGTTTGTCATTCACCTTCAGTCTTTGACTTTCAAGACTGAAAATTTGAAAGCGTATTGGTAAACATGTCCGGTTTGGATGTGTCTGAAGTTTCTCCTGATTAAATTTAAGTTATGTGTGTTGGCAGGAATATTACAGATATGATGCTGTACTCTTCTGAATGCATCTTTTCTGAAGGTGCATGATATTACATGTTTTATTGCTGGTGATGTTTAGTGATATTTACTGGCCAGGGACATGGGGAGGGTGAGAGGATCCACCAGAGACAGAATGGGGAGCAGAACAGGCAGATTGACTGAAATACACTGCTGAGAGGAGCAGTGGGCCCGGCAGGAGAGGTCTGCTGTGCCATGTGGCTCAGCTCCCTGACCAGGGATTGAACTTGTGTGCTTATGCGACAGTGGCTGCAGATAGATCTCAGTGTAAGACTTAATCCCTTGTGCCACCTGCAAGGCCCAGTTTTCTATTTCTTTTGTCCCTTCTGCACTTACTAGAATTCTACTCTCTAAAGCAGAGCTTTCTGGCTTTCCCCATTATCCATTCACTAAATTTATTCAACTATTTTTATCAATACGGGTTAATGGATGTTTGTCTTACCATATTGGTTACGTTATTTTGTTGCTCAAATTGCCCCAGATTGGTTGATAGTCTTTTATTATGGGTTAGTTTGAATATTTTATATGTTTAAATATATCTTTCTTGTGTACTGTCTATTCATGTTCACCTCCCTCCCCCATTTTTCTATGGATGTTTATCCTGTGCCCCTCAATTTTTAAGAGTTGCTTACGTATTTGGAGTAATAGATTTTTAATTGTAATATATAGTACAAATATTTTCTCCCACTTTATGGTATTTTTGCATGCTATTTTAAAGAAAAGATTTATTTATGCATACCGAACGTGGGTACAGGCCAGAAGCACAGGAGCAGCGAGAGGATTCACCAGAGACAGAATGGGGAACAGAACCGGTAGACTGATGAAGTACACAGCTGAGGGGAGCAGTGGGTGAGACAGGAGAGGTCTGCTGCACCATGTGGGTCATCTCCCTGGCTGGGAATCGAACTCTTGCTGAAGAGGCTGTGGCTAGCTTCCTAGTGCTAGGCTTTAACCCTTTGGGCCGCCAGGGAGGGCCCTGTATACTATTTCTTTATATTGTCAAATTCCTTTATTACACATGCTTTGGATTTTGAGTCATAATTAGGAAACCTTTAGCTGTCAGAACTAGGTAATTTGGAGGGTCATCTCTGTTGAAAGCCTTAAAAGTTAGACACTAGATGTGCAGTACAAACCATTTGCCCCTCAGGGAGAAACTGGGAGTAAAAAATCCACTCCCAATGTTATCGTGCTGTACCGGGGTGGGACTTACGGCAAGAAAGTATGTCAGCTGTTCCTACCCATTTCACTGTGAGTGTTTTCTCATTTGTCTGACGTGTAGGAATCACTCAGCCAGCTTCTGGATTTCCCTCAGGGGAGTCACTCCATGTAGAGCTGTATATCAGATGCATCCATAAGAGGAGGGGATTTCAGCAGCCTCTTGTGTCACCATTTTGGTCTTCTCTTCCTCTTTCCTCTTTTTCTAACTTCAAATCTTTCTACCCTCACTTACCTTCCTGTTTTACCAGGAAAGCAGGACAGAATTTCCATAAACTTCCACTACCTTACCTACTATCATCTTCTGATTGTTTCCTCATACTACTATTATTGACGTATCCATGCACCTGAAGTGGGACTAGTAGGCGAGGTAGAATGGAGGTTGCGCTACAGGCTCACAAAGGAATAATGTTTAAGGATTCTTGTGAACTGATATGAAACCATGGGTAACCAAGAGCGAGCCACAGTGGGAATATTTATGCTATGGAAATCAGCAAATGTTCATAGTGCTCTTTCTCTTCCCAAGGTGTCTACACATACAATATACTTTAAGCAATACATAAACACACACACACAGACACATACATATACAGTACATGCATATGTTTTCCACTTAAATTTTTTTCTATAACTGAGTTAATATAGTACGTTTTCTGATATAACTTCCCCTCTACAACATTGTGTTTGTGAGCTGCATTAGGGTTGGTATGTATAATTTTTTTAATTATTCTGTACCACTCCAGGAGAATATAAGCTGCATAGAATATACACTACAAGTTTTCATTAATTTTATCCTCTGCAGTATTCCTTGGACTTGAAATAGTGCCTGACAGAATGTACGCTTAATGTATATTTATTTGATGGACTAAATGGGGTGTGCCTGAAATTCTACCTCTACCACATCTACCAATTGATGTTATGTTGCTTAACTCTTTGGGAACTTAATAGATCTTAATACATTGACTAATTTTGGTCTTCAAAACTTATGAAGGAATTCATTTTGCATAACTTAATCAGAGGAGGGTTATGGTAGCAGAAAGAATAAGATGGAGATCAGTTTTACACGTGAACACCGCCTAGTTTGGAGATTCAGAGCCACCAGGTGGCAGTATAGGCTTACTGAAAACCCAGTAACTAGGGCGTCTCTGTAGATGGGTGTCCCAAACATAAATGTTTCCATATTTTGTTTATGGTAACCTCATCTTTTATTGACATTAGTCCTCTGCAGTTTTATATAAGTTTATGCTTATATTTTCCCTTTTATTTGACAATACTAAATTTAAAGTACTGCAACAGACCAGATTATTATTTTTTTAAAGATTTATTTATTTGTGCATACAGAACTGGGGTACAGGGCAGAGGTGCA